GTTAGTAAAGTTCCCAAAACGTTAGTCTTCAAAAATAAAGGGTGGCGTCTTATATTCCGAAAAATACGGTACATATTTATTTATAAAAAGAGACGTCAAGCCATCAAGAGTCATAGTAGTTTCGATTAATTGTTTGTGTTAATTAGCTAACACTCTTCCAAGATAATAAACCTGGTTCTGCGTTATACATATTTATGCATATGAAAAAGTCCATTTCGCGCGTGAAGTATCGAGAAACCAATAGAACAGAATCATATACACGTTTGTTTTGCGTTTAAACGCAAAGCTGTAAAATGGACTATCTTTGCTCTGTCCATCGAGGGGAGTTTTTAGTGTTATACGCCCACCGGAAAGTGGGTGGAAGTGGAGGGAGAGGCGACAGGCAGGAATATAAAAAAACGTAATGTCAGTTATCCGCATATACACAAACATAATCAGTTAAACAGCATATCTGCGGAATAAATACGGAAAACAAATCCCAACCAGTAATTTTAAGCATAGTAGCCCCATGTAGCCCAGCAGTAAGAATGAGGGCCTATAACGTTAAAAATCTGGTTTCGATACTGCTTTGGGCTTACCATAGGTAATCCATTGTGTAGCTTTATGCTTAACAACAAACAATCAAAAAGCATAGTAAATATTGAAGAAAAAGTACTATAGTAATAAATTAATTAATTAAAATATGGTAAAAAGTTATGTCCTAATTTGCACTCCTAATACTCCCTGACACTCGTTCAATTCAACCTTACTTGGCACTTATGTCCTAATTTGCACTCCTAATACTCCCTGACACTCGTTCAATTCAACCTTACTTGGCACCACTTTCTGTCAAATTCTATAGCAGTCCAGGTTCTGTCCTACTTGGCACAACTTTCGGTCAAATTATATTTCTTCACCTAAATCCTGCTTTATTTGGTATAACAGACATTCAAATTCTATACATCGTCCAAATCCAGTCTTACTTAACACCATTTTCTTTCAAGTTCTATCCCAGTCCAAACCCTACTCTACTTGGCATCACCGACCCTCAAGTTATATACATCGTCCAAATCCAATCTTACTCAACACCCCTTTATGTCACGTTCTTTCACTGTCCAAGTTCTACCCTACTTGACAATCAAACTTCATTTCCCACCCAAATCTGTCATACTTGTACCACTTTCTGTCAGATTCTATTCCCCCATCCAATTCCCGCCCTACTTGGCATCACTTTGTATTAAATTTTATACCCGTCCAAATTCTATCCTACCTGACATTACTATCTGTTACATTCTACCTCCTGTCCAAATCCTGCTTTGATTGCCACCACAATCCTATCCCTATACAAATACAACCCTACTTAGCATTACTATCTGTCAAATTCCAACTCCCATCCAAATCCTATCCTACTTAGTATCTCTCGTTAAGTTGGTACCACCAATATATGGTGAATTCCATTCTTTGTTTTAAATCAACTTAGCTGCACTACCCAAAAGGTGTGAAGGAAAGATTGGAACTTTTGTTAGCATTATTGTTAACCTATGTTATTATTTTCGAACATTTCGATCATTTATAGCACACCACACACACATGCGCATTACCGTAGAAGGGGTAGTATTTGGACAAGATGGGATCAGGCAGAACACTACTTCTAAAATCAATTACTAATAAGCCTATTTGGTACTGCTGTGTAGGTTACCAGAATGAAATACGCTCTTGTCTAATTAAACTTATAACTTAATAAAGTGTAAGTTAATAGTGATAGGTCTACTGTGTACCGTTTGAAATTCACTCGAGCCTGTCAAAGGCAATGCTATGTACTATCCCTAAAGGTTGAACATTTTTATCTATAACAATTAGTTAGCTTCTGAAGATCAACCTCTTGATCTAAAACAACAGTGCCAAAGCTCTAGCGTCTTGAAAACAGGCACAAAAAATACCAAGATTTTCCATAGTTTTTTTTTACACTAAAAAGATTCTCAAAATGTCCAGAAAGAAAGCTAAGCTACCTGACAGAGTAAGTAAAATGGAGAGAAATGTTGGGCCAGGATTTCCAACACTGCTTTATCATGCTATAAATTACAAAATGTCCAGAAAGAAAGCTAAGCTACCTGATAGAGTAAGTAAAATGGAGAGAAATGTTGGGCCAGGATTTCCAACACTGCTTTATCATGCTATAAATTACAAAATGTCCAGAAAGAAAGCTAAGCTACCTGATAGAGTAAGTAAAATGGAGAGAAATGTTGGGCCAGGATTTCCAACACTGCTTTATCATGCTATAAGTTACAAAATGTTCAGGAAAGAGTGCCTTAAAATGGAGACACATATTATGCATAGTAATTAAAACTCAGCATCTTTATTGATTCTACCCAGCATTAAGACATCATCTGTACATGAGGAAATCCCTACCGATTCAATAAACGAGTTTTACACATTAACATTCACGATATTACTGTTTGTTTATTTGTTTTGAATTTATGCACAAAGCTACACAATGGGCTATCTGTGCTCTGCCCACCACGGGTATCGAAACCCGGTTTCTAGCGTTGTAAGTCCACAGACATACCGCTGTGCCACTGGGGGGGCCGATATTACTGACGACGTGACAAAAGGTGCATTAATGAAATACATAAGACTAGTTGTATATAATTAGTACGAATGGGAAGCGGGATTATAAAGAGAAAAATGTGATGGAAGTTTTACTGAAGACTTAAGAACAGCTTTACTCGTACTGAGTAAGAAATAAAAGCTACTGATATAACAGTTTTTCGAGACTGATCTTACGTATAGGCTACAGCATGCAACTTTGTTAGCGCAACTTCCGAAAGTAATTTGAGTCTCTGGAAACGTAAACCCAGGGAATACGTGTCTAAGTAGCCCCAAACGTTATTTAATAGAGAATGAAATTAAAGATTTGTGTAGTATTAATCCTACGCCTGAACTCTACAATGAATTTGGGCAAGAAACCAAATTTCTGTACTGAAGTAAACTAGAGAAAATGAATTATAAAGTGTAAATTAATTTTCTTATACTTTGTGTACAAAACATTTAATGATTTATGAGCAATGACTTTTACGCAGCTCAGGTGAAATTTGAACTTACCTGAGTGATATCGACTCTCGTGTCTTGTGAGTCTTCGTTGAGCTCGCCGAGCAAGCCGCTTTGCTCGGGTAGAAGGACTGGCGGCACCGGGAACGATAGGTGGCGCTGTAGTTATGAAGGTAAGTCAGACAACAATGCAAAAACAAGACCAACAACGCGTATCATATATTTATTAAATAAATATCAAGATTTTATACACTGTACAATATTGTTATTTTTCAATAGGAAAATATTTACATACAGTCACCATAACTTAAATATATGGTGAATGTAGAATCTTGTGTTGTTAATGGGCCAACCTTAAGTCCAACCTTAACTCCGTTAAACCTCAAATTATCATTTCACTTTTCAACAGGTGCCTCTAAATACAAACGTTTCAAGCAATAGTATACCATACATAACTGAACTTTTAACTGAGAAATTAGGTTTAATTAAAATTATAAAAATCAATACCTGAATTTTAGTTCCATGTCTTTTGTCTGTTCTCATTTTATACTTTTAATGAATAAAAGGCTATATATATATATGGATAACGACATCTTTTCTGTATTGTTCAAGAATGAAACTTAAAAGTACTTACAGTATCTATTAACTTGCTATATACAGTACTTTATTTTACTAAGGGAGCTACTGCCTTATTGTCCCTTGTTTGTTGTTAGCTTTGTTGAGATAGATAAAAGAACATGGCTGTAACATTAGTTAAATAGCTTCTTAACGTTCTCGAGGGTTTTATTGTTTACGCCAGCTGTGCTAAAACTGTCCTTTCTTAAAAAGGAAATTATTTATGAGTCATAGAAACCTTCAGACTTATCCACTGTAAACACAGTACGGGATATTAATACATTTTCAAACAAACCGGCTACATAAATTAATTCAAATCGAAATGTTGTAAATCATTTTAGTTTTACCGAGAGAAATACTGTGTAGAACATGTTCAACCGGAAAGAGGAAACTTTAAATCTGCAACGTTAAACTTTGAGATTACTTTCAGATTGCGCCATACATACACGAAATTTAAAAAAACCGAGTACGTAATGTTTGTTGCTCGGATACACGCCCTTCGCCACCAACGGTACATTCCGACTGTTCGTATTCACATTGTTCCTAATTCCCCTATAAAAAAAACAGCCAAGACTTTATCCGACTGTGAGCAAACTATATTTAATCAAATACGACATTTAAAAAACAAAACCTAAACCGAGTAACTGTTTCCTGAGCGGTGGTTTTTAGTACACTCCACGGTTGTAATATATGAGACAAAAAACAATATATATATATATATATATATATATATATATATGCGCAATAAACTAATTTAAAAATTAAAACTTAAAAACTAAAGTAAA